ATTGAACTCAGGACCCTGCACTTGGCAGGCAAGTGCTTATGCTACTGAGCTATCTCCCTGGGCTCCCTATTTAACATTAAACAAACTTGAAATCCTCCTAAAGGGACTATCACTACAGGGCCTAGTCCAAAGGAGGTTAACCTACATCACAAATGCTGCAACAGGCTGTCTGTATCACTGAAAGCTCTAAAAGGTTTATCACCACTGACCTAGACTCACTCTTAAATACCAATGCCCTGGGGATATCCCAAGACAACACAGCTAAAACACTTCCCTTGACAATAAAGATCTCATTTATAACTTTAATTATAGTTTCTTAGGGAGTCAACATAACCCTGGAAAATATGCTTAGAAAGATAACTAGAAAGTAAACAGTGTAGAGCTGAGATATCCAATGCTCCAACTTCAGAATAACCTTCCATTATCAAAAGCTCAACCAACTCAATTCCTTACCTTTCCTGGGCTGATTGTGAATACTAATAGCCTGGGTCTGATAGTTTCCATCATCATTCTGTACACATACCAGGTGAGAGTCTGCCTTTTCATTAAAGCAAGCACCTCCTGCAAGGACATGCTCATTGGACTTGTTCATGGCTTTCATCATCTGCAACCAAGGAAGAGGGTTAATCTTACTCTATGAAGAATAGACATTTTTCTGTCTGACATGGTTTGCTTCCACCTTCTTAAAAAAAAACAAAAAAAAAACATTATTAAACTGAAAAAAAATAAACTGAAAAAGTGGCTACCCAGTTATGGAAAAAAAGCAAAAAATCATAATCATCATTAGTTGAAAAAAATCAGCATACACAAAAATACAATGTACAGTTATAGGTGATTTGCACAGTAACCTGAACATTACATATCTCACACTCATTTTATGTCCTTTTTTGCTGCACTTGAATAATTAAAATTACTTTAGCTAACTGCAGTTTTGCCTACTGACTGGATTCTTTCTTGGGGATATGTATCTTGACATCTAAGTCTAAAAAAAGTGCCCCATATTTAAGTACATTGGGCTTCAACATCTGAAGTGTAAAGCTTTTGCCTACGTATTTGTGAAACATAGTTTCTTAATTTTGCTAACTTATATATCAGCTCTTCAGTGAAATAACTAATATTTTGCTTTGTTCTTATGAAGATTTAAGATGACAACATTTACAACTCTAACTTGAAAAAGTTCACAGGCCTCTTTTATGTCTCCTAAACGATATACTGACATTACACCGATGTTAAATTCTGACCTCTGCCT